GGGATTAAAACATATGGGGCTTATAGAAAGGGGAAAAAAGATTTAGTTCTACAATTTGGATGTAAACCATATGCATTTAATCATGTTAAATTATGCCCACCTGGATATACATATAAAATGAAATAAGAGAATGCCCTATGGCCAGCGATGACTAACACTTACAATATGAAAAAGCACCTTTAAAAATTACACTGCTGTATTACATAATAGTGGTATTAGTTACTGTTTCAGTACTCCTTACAAACCCAAACCCACCAAATAGTTGCCAAGATTTTATTTCTCTGGAAAGTAAGGGGACTGAAGTATGTTCATTTACCCAACCTTATTTCCCCAAAGGCCTCCTCTCGGGGTGTTAAAAACCTTTATTCTGTGGAGCAAAAGAAAAAGAAACAGGAAGACATGGAAAAAAGAATTGCATCTTCTGGCTCTGTAGGAGAAGGAGGACTTAGGGTAAGTTTTAACATTTACTTAATGTTAAATCCCTTTTAAAATATTTTGTTTTAACCTTTTAACTTTTTCTTCCTTAGGGGAAGTATCTGTACAAATCAGGGAGAGGATAAATACAAATTAACTGAATGCAGCTGCTTCTCATCCACTTGCATTGTCAATTACTGACAATTCCACCATTCTCATCCCTAGAGTCCATAATTTGAGAGTGCTTTTCAGTTGTTTTTTCTTCTTTGACATATTCCAAATATCCAAATCATGTCACTTTTGCCTTCATAATATTTCTAAGAAGCATCCTCTTCTTTGCACTCCCAAAGCAAAGACTCTTGTTCATGTCCTTACCTATCATATTGATTATTACAGCTGCTTCCTCTTGTGACTCCTCCAACAGCCATTTCACCATTCTCACTCCAATCTGTTCAAAACGTATCATGATCATGTTATGTCATACTCTTCTTTGAATTCAGTTAGTAAGTCACCCTTTTGAACAACGGAAGATCAAGCATTATGTCCTCGTTTTAAAGTTTCGTCACAAGTTTCCTCTGTACTTTGCCATTAATATCCATAGGTGCCATTAATATCCATAGGTGTCTATACACATGCTCTGTCCACAGTGTCATGTGTATTCAGCATCCCACACTTCAAAATGGCGGCAGGGTGCTTTAACTAAAGGTCGTTTGACGAGCATCATCTTGAAGTGCAGGGATGTGGGGGCTGCTGGACCACGTTAATTAGAACGTTCTAGCATTACCTGCTGGATTAACTGAGTCTGTTCTGAGGCATGCTAATTAGCATGCATTGGAGCAGAAATCTAGCACATGTTTAGGTTCCCCATCAGACTACCCGTTTATCCTCCTCTCTCACAGTTAACTTAACTTAATCCATGTGCTCTCTGACTATAGGATACTTCACCTGATTTATAAGATCAGTCCTTCTTTCAAATAGCTTCTGAAGACACTCCTTTTTTCCTCAGTGTTTACAAGAAATTAGGCAACCAAATAATTTAAGCAACACATATGTATCTTTTAAAAGCTATGTGTATTTTTTACAAACATATGTATATGTTTTTTTAAAAGGTCAGAAAATGCAGTCTGTATGTATATACTGATTGCATTTCCTGCCCATATTTGTAGAATATGATAACTGTCCTTTTTGGGTTTATTTACATGGCACAGTGCAGTGCTGTTCAAAGACACTCAAGATACATTGTGTACCAGCTAGTTTGGGTAGCAGATGCTCTGCCCAGGCTAATATGCTTTGCTTCTGGTACCCACACTATCTCACGGAGAGGTAGCTCAGGTATCTCCATGTGGCCGGGGACCATGCTATTTAGATGTACAGTCCGATTGTGAATTCTTTGGGACAGGGGCTGTCATTTTGTTTGTGTGGACTATGCTAAGCAAATTGTGTATCTCTGCTTTGCACAAAAACATTACTGATGAGTTTAAATGAAAAGAACACTTGAACTGTGAGAAATTACTGTCAATTTACTGCCTATACATATATTTTTTTAGTGGCAGCTTGGATAAAGAAGAATGGCTTCTGAGAAGAAGGTCAAAGTTTACTGCCAATAACTTGCCAGTTTCTGCAGCTGAGTGGAACCTATTCATTGTGTGGCTTTTGCTGTTGTTTGCATATGAAGATTCAGCTGTACTTTGCCATTGTATCAAGGCCAGTGATAGAACTGTAGATCAAGAACTTTTTCAGACAAAAAACCTCAGAATGTTAAAAAAAAAAAAAAAAAGGCCAAAACTTGTTACTTACATTTCATAATCTCCATTTGTTTTAATTTTGCATGTTTCTACTCTGTTTCTTGATGGGGTAGGGGAAATTCACTCTTGTACAGGAATGAACAATGGGGTTGATGTATGATACTTCTGCTTCTGAAACAAACTTTATGCACAGCCTAGGAAACCATAATTGATTTTCTTTTCAATATTTAAAGTTCTTCAGTTAAACTTTTCTGCCACAAAAGCTTCTTTCCAAAATATTTGTAATGAAATAAATGTACTCCTGTCCATCTCTTTGGTTTCCTACTTCTAATGATTGGTGAATCATTTAGTGCCTTTAAAAAAAAACCAAGAAACTGCTTGGAATAAGCTTGGCTTCTGCAAACGGAAACATTTTGTGATTTTTTTCTTTTAAAATTTGTGTGTGCTAATCCCTTTGTATACTTATACTAAGGTGTAAATATTTTATTATGTGGTTTAGTTTTGGTTCTCTCTCTTCCCTGATTTTCTAATTATGGATTTTTGAGTATATAAATGTATTTGCTATGTATATACAAACACCCATGCTGGAAGTTAACACTAATTATCTAAGCAACAAAAACTGTTGGCTAAATGCTTTCTTTTGTACCATTAGAGGGCAATGCTGTGCTTCTGAATATGCTGGAAAACAGAAAAAGGAAAAGCCTCTTAGGTCATCTCTTGGATGGTTATTTCCTAAAAGCTTCTGTACTATCTGGGTGGTTTAATTATATATAGTACAGTAATACTTGCCAAGGACCAGAAGCACTATTACTGTTCATTTGTATCCAGCAATGCCCATAATCCTTTTCCTAAATGTGAGACTACTTTTGATTATGTAAAGCTAACTAAACTATGGTGTATTATGTGACCAGCTTTCAAAACTAGGAGTGACCTCAGGCCACCATTTTAATAGATATGGGGAATATATTGCAACAGGATAAATTCTAAAAGTACAGTTTTTATTTTTCCCTGGAGCATGTTACGTTTGGCGTCAGTGTCCTGCTGATTCCGTTTTTGATCCAGTTTAGATTCTGGAAGTGTTAGTTCAGTTAAATAGCCCATCTTTCCCCCTGAAGGGCTTAGCATAGTACTGCTCCAAACTTATTTGGGAAGTCCTCTTGAAAAAAAACCTAACATTTTGGCTTTCGCCAAATAATTCATGATGCCAGAAGGAAATTTTAAAAATGGTATATTAATATTAATTTAGTGCCAAAAGCTGTGGCCTTGACAGAATATAATATAATACCCTTGTCTTTCCTTGTGATTTGTTCTCCTCGCTGTTTTATTAGTATGTGTCACTGAATTAGGACTCAATGGAAAATAGTTTGTTACAGAATCTACAAAAAACCATGTGTCATAATTAATCTGCAATGTGACTTTCATTCTGGGATTCCTAATGCATCCTACAGTGTGGTGTGTGCTCAGAAGCTATTTGTGTTATTAAAGTGTCACTTTGCTTAGTTCTTGGAATTTATGATTTGTATCCGTTGATTAGCGTCGTGCAAGAGAAATGGTACCAATGCTTTTCTCAAGCAGGCGGAGGAACAGAGACAATTGACACACATTCAATGATGTGCCCCATGTGCTTGGTATGTCTACACATTGCTGTACGGTGACGGTAGTACTGTGCTATGTTTTAGTACTTGCTTGAGGGATCGACCCATGCGATTGCTATGTCACCATAGCACGTTGCTACATCGCCGCATTGCTGTAGGGCGATGTGTAGACACGCCCTGGGTGGGTTCTCTAACCACAGAGCTATTAATAAAAAGGGCACCTACTATAGCTCCAGGTTATAAGAAGGGGCTGGAGCTGGCACTGGTGCCTACTGCAGTACAGGATTTGAAGTTGTGAATCCCAATGTTGGGCACCTAAGCCCTGGAGAGGGGCAGAACTTGGAACATCCCCCTTCTTCCTCTATCCCTACTCAGTGTGCTTATGTCTGTGGAACCTACTCTACCTAGAGGTGCGCCAATAAAGATTTTCTTGGCTGATACCAATAGCTGATTATTAACCAGCCATATCGGCCAATACTGATCCAACAGCCAATATTTAGTAATAAAGCTCATCAAACGAGCTTTAGTTCAAGCTCCCCACCGCCCTTTCTAAGTGTGGGTATGCTGATACAAGAGATACGGCAGCACTTTAATTAGAGCTGCTCTCAGAGCGACTATGATTAAAACATTGCCCCCACCCATTCCCAGAGCAGTGCCACTTGAAGCCCCTGCCATTCAGGCTCAGGCGGGGGTGGCAGTGGGGGGGAGGGATTGCAGAGCTATAACCACCCCAAAATTTGCCTTGCCCCCCCCGCCCCCCCAGCACCAGTGCTGCCTACCCCACATAGCTGAGCCTGCCTGCCCACACTGCACAGCTGAGCCTGCAAAGGGGTGGCGCTCCCAGCAGGGGTGGCGCCAGCCTCTTCCCAGTAGGAAGCTGAGCCAGGGCTGGGCTTGAAGTTGGCAGGAATGGGGCGGGCTCAGCTGCATGGGGAGGGTAGCGGCAGTGCTGGGAGAGGTGGCTATGGGAAAGCTAAGGTGAATTTTGAGGTGACTATAGCTCCCTGCAAGTCCCTGACTCGGCCAAGCCCAGCCCTCCCACCGGGATGAGGCTGGCGGCGCCCCAAGCTCAGGGAAGTTGCCTGAAGCTACCACGACTCAGTGGTCTCTGGGCACTTTAATTAGAGTGGCTTTCAGAGTCGTCGTAATTAAAGCATCACTCCCACACCGAGAGCCTCCCCACTAGGGGAAGGACTCTGCTGCACACAGTGAGGGAGTGGGGGAGTGGCTGCCTCAGCCCCTGCCAGGCTGCCCTCAGCCTCTGAGGCACAGACCCCTGGGCACCACAAGTTCACCCATGCTTGGCTGGGCTGGGCAGCTCTGCCTGCCCCTCCCCGCCCCACTTATGTCTGCTGCATTCGCGCTTTTTACAGTGCCCAACCCAGCCCGCAGTCCTTGCCATACTCCGCTCCAGCTCAGGCCGCCTGCCGGTGAGGGGATGGGGGTGTATCCAGAGTCACCCTGGGTCACGGATTGGAACTCAGGCATCCAGGGGCCTCATCCCTGCAGGCAAGAGGTAACCCAGGTGTCCAGAGGCCTCGGCATAATTAATTATTGGACAACATTACTGTATCAGCTACAAGAGCCAAGAAAAAGCAGATAGCCGATAACTTTCATTTTCCTTTTATCAGTGCTGATCCAATATCTAACCGATTTATCGGTGCACCTCTAGTTCTACCCGTGCTATGGGGCCTAACTGGGTTCTGGTGCCTTCCTTTGATGCACTGTAGTTCTCACCAAGTAATACTAAGCACCAAAGTCATCTTGTAGAAGTAGATCAAGGCCATGAAGATCAAATACAAGTATTAACTTTGACTTAGAGTATGACCATAATTTAAGTAAATCATTGCTGCAGGAAGCTTTCAGAATATGTTTTGTCTAATGCAAAACGGATTTTATCAGGTCCTTGTATATTGTTCAGAATCACACACTACTTTAAATTCAGAGTACCATTCTTAAGAATGAGAACTACTTATTAAACCAAGATGAATCCTGAAATAGAACCTTAAATTTGAAACAGTGATGTATTTAAACATCGCACAAGGAAAGCTTTAATTATACTGTGTTACATTTACAGCCGCAAGAAAGAAAATAATCCTTTTCGTCTCTGGTATGCTGTCCCTTGCCCTTGCTTCAGTCACCTTAGATTTTTCCATGTGTAAAGCCTTTCTCAATGTCCAGTGTCAAATTCTTCATATTTTTAGGAGCTACAGGTTGTTCACACCATTGGCTAATGGACTGCTACAAGGAGAGGCCATGCCCTTAAAAGTAATTGCTCCAATATACCCAGCAAAAACACAAGCTTGGGACAGCTGTACAGGGCTTTTGCCTTAAGAGAACTCTGTGAGAGAGAGTAAAATATTTCTATTACCAAAGGCAAGTTTTTTGTATTCTATTCTATATCACTGCCCTGCACAAGAATTGTATTTGATTCATTGTTGAGACGCTGTCATAGAGAAAACATCAAGACAATAGTCCAAGGCCATCAACTTTGATTGTGTCTTGGCTGCTTCCCTCTACTGCCATGTTTTCCAAACCAGGCATTTGTGAGAGGGGAAGAGACTAGCTTCACTGAGCAGTGGAAAATGGAGAGGTCATTCAGTTGTTAAAAAAAAGACATTTTCTGAGGACTAGGGCTGAACTTATTGCCATGTGCAAAAAAAGGACTGGCTGGAGAGACAGAAAGCAGGAAAGAGTCTGCAAGCCTGAAACACTGAAATCTTGGATTCATGGAAGGGTGAAACCAAACCGCGTACCAGGACTTAAAGACCTGTCAGTCTTGAGTACCAACAGTAGTTTGAGAAGTCCATGTTTTTCTCTTATGCCCTGTTGTTTCCAAAGGGGTTAATCTAAAAGTTTAGAGAGCTTGTAGCCTAGAGACACATGAAAAGAGCATTTTTACACTAAGGGCACTTTTACACGTACTCCAGGGGTCAGACGTGGGGAGGCAAACTGTAATTAGAGTGGCCCCGAGAGCGCCTTTAATTAAAATGTAGTCACATCTCCTGTATCAGCATCTCCACACTTAAAAATGGTGGCAGGGGCACTTGAGCTAAAGCTCATTGGACGAGTGTTTAGCTCAGGTGCCTCTGCTGCCATTTCTAAGTGCAGGGATGCTGATACACAAGACACAGGAGGCTGCTGGAATTCCAGTGCATTGGAGCAGCCTCCATGTATAGGCACCCTAAGAGAGTCAGTGTGCTATGGCTGGAATGACACAGGATTCATGCCGTAGGACAGCTTGTATGGTCCTACAGATAGGGGACACTGGTGGTGTCAGGAAATGTATTTTATTTTCAACAATCCACAGAATATTAAGATATACAGTAGCTTTCATTTATAAAAATGATGAAAACCCAGTAATGCAACTTCAGTACACCTAGTTGCTCTTAAATCTTTCATCCAAAACAGGGTAGAGACTGCTATGTGTTAAAAATTATAGCTTGGAATTTAGACTCGGGGAAGTTTTATCATAGGCTAAAATGATGTACTACTTACGAGGATGAATTACAGACTACATTCCTGTGGCCATTTACATACATTACACATTTGGAGGTTAAATATGAAGTGTCATGCTCCTAAAGGTCTTTAGTTGGAGAAAGTGATGGGCAAACTGAAACTGCAGGGGTTACCAGACATTGCTCAAGCATGTATTTTCAAAGCAAGAAGTACCATCTTTGAGAGAAGGGCATTTCTCTTCCTTTGCTAAGATCTACAGAGGGAACAGCAATGCTAGGCACAGCAGGTGGATGGAGTCCTTGGAAGAAGATGCCAAATTGAAAAGATCCTGCAGGACATGAGCCACTCAAGAATTTGAGACAATTCTGGAAAATTATTACTCAGCAGCTGTGTGTGCTGTCTGGCACTGGGTCTTCTACACTCTGAGAGTTTCTGGAAGGGTATGAGCTTATACTATGTCAGATTCGGATACAGGAAAACATCAAGCCTGACTAAGAAGAGATGGTGTCAGTAGTCGGGCTGAGCTGCTTAACTCATCCCCCCCAGTACATCCATGTAATCTCACACCTCCATTCTACCTCCATCTGGCTCTGAAATCAGAACTCAACTCTCCACAGCCTTCTTTTGGTCTACTGGCGGAAGGAGAAGTAGAAAAAGAGTACATCAGGCAAGATGTGACTGGCTGCAGCATGCATGTTCCTGTGGGAAAGCAGCATAGTCTAGCAGAGCATCAGACTGTAACTCTGGAGGCTTAGGTTTTATTCTCAACTCTGCCACTGCCCACTGAGTGACCCTGAGCACTGCACTCTGCTCCTGCACTTCACTTTCCCCATCTCTGCAGTTGGGAGAAGCATTGGTAAAGCATTTTGTAAGCTACTAAAGTCACAATATAAAAGAGTGAACATAACTCTAAGCTCTGTCAACTTTAGTATGCTGATCTCACTCTGGTAATTACCCTCAATAGACATTCTCAGAATTTATAAGAAATTTAAGGAGAGGCAAATCCCTAGTAGGCTGTATAGACTGTTCTGCGAGGGCAGGATGTGCCCTAGCCAGGTGCATGAATACCGGGTGGTAATAGCTAGTAACGCACAGCCTTCATAGATTTCATAGACATTTGGGCTGGAAGGGACCTTGCCAGATCATTGGGTCTAGGCTCCTGCTCAAGGGGCAGGAAGTCAGCTGGGATCAAATGATCCCAGCAGGATAAGCATCCAAATGTTTCTTGAAAGTGCCCAGAGTAGGTGTTTGCACCACCTTTGGGGGGAGTCTGTTCCAGAGTAATCATTTAGCTAAAACACAAATTCCCTCTTCTGGGGTTTTCAAATAATACTATAATTGTCTATGACCAGGTAATATTATGTTGACATGAAATAATAAAGAACTGACTGATAAAGATTTGTCAAGAGTCCCATTCATCTCATGTGTTGATCGCTTGCTGTGAC